TTTTACAATAGTGGAAAATATGATATTTGTCCTTCTGTGATTGACTTATTTGACTCGGCATAATGTCCTCTAAGTTCATCCATGTTATGCAGTGTTTTGCAGATTCTTTCTTTAGGGTTGCATAGTATTCCATTGTGTGTATGTACCACAGTTTTATTATCCATTGCACAGTTGATAGGCACTTTTTGATTATGAATAGTGCTGTGATGAACAGGGGTGTACATATATCTGTTGAGTCTTACATCTCATTTCTTTAGGATATGTACCTAGTAATGAGATTTCTGGGTCAAATGGCATGTCTATTTCCAACTTTTTAAGCAATCACCATACCAATTTCCACAGTGGTTGTACAATTTTACAGTCCTTCCAGCAGTGTGTGAGAGTCCTAGTCTCTGTACATCCCTCACTAAGACATCATAAAGTAACATTTCCTGTGCCGTAGTAATGGTCCCCAAATCCAATAATAAGACCATCTATGTTGTTGTTGTTATGTGCCTTCGAGTTGGCTCGACTCATAGCGACCCCTCCTTGGGTTTCCGAGGCAGTATCGCTACAGAAGTAGGATTGCCCAAAGACCGTCTATACTCATGTAATTATCAGCCATTGTCAAGAGCAGAGGCTTTTTATTGCTGGAGAGATGGGTATAACCTGAAAAAGTGAAAATGAGGGAAAACAAGAAATGATTCCTGGTTTTCAAATTCAAATTTGAATTCAAATTCAAATTTGACACTACAAAGCCCATATCCATGGAAGAGTGAAGAAAGGATCCATTGCTCACATGGACTTCCATTTTCTCTAAGCCAACAACACTTGAAGCCCTCCTGTCTGCTGACAAAACTTAGAAATGTGCAAAGGTGACACCACAATTCCTAGGCTTTTCTGAAACTTGGCTTATTAAACTATCACTAGTCTTCTACCTAGGAGCTCTGGTAGCATAGTGCCTAAGGCATTTGACTGCTAACCAGAAGGCTGGTGGTTCAAACTCACCAGCCACTCCTCAAAAGGAAGGTTGGACAGATTGGGCAAATGTAGATTACTTTTGTAGTGATACCACCTCAGAAAACCAAGAAGGGGTCTCTATGGGTCGGGTTCGACTCGATGGCAGTGAGTTTTTTTTTTTTTGTGTGTGTGCGTGTGTAATCTTCTACCTATAGATCACTCTTGGCATAGTGGTTAAGGCATTTGGCTGCTAACCAAAAGACTGATGGTTTGAACCCACCAGCAGCTCCATGGAAGAAGGATGAGGAAGTCTGCTTCCATAAAGATTTACAGCCTTGGAAATTCAATGGAGATCACTGTGAGTCAGAATTGACTTGATGGCTGTTGTTGTTAGGTGCCGTCATGTCATATTCAACTCATAGTGATCTTATGTACAACCGAACGAAACACTGCCTGGTCCTGTGCCATCCTCATAATCCTTGCTATACCTGAGCCCATCATTGCAGCCACTGTTGTCAATCCATCTTCTTAAGGGCCTCCCCTTTTTCATTGACCCTCCACTTTACCAAGCATGATATCCTTCTCCAGGGAATGGTTCCTTCTGACAACATGACCAAAGTAGGTGAGATGAAATATAGTCATTCTCGCTTCCAAGGAGCATTCTGGATGCACTTCTTCCAGAGTAGATTTGTTAGTTCTTTTAGCAGTCCATGATACTCTCAGCATTCTTCACCAACACTACAACTCAAAAGCATCAACTCTTCTTTGGTCTTCCTTATTCGTTGTCCAGCTCTCCCATGCATAAGAGACAATTGAAAATACCATGGCTTGGGTTAGGTGCACCTTAGTGTTCAAGGAGATATTTTTGTTCTTCATCCCTTGAAAGAGGTCTTTTGCCACAGATTTGCCCAATGCAATATGTCATCTGATGTCTATTTTTTTTTTTTTAATTTTCTTTAAAACATTTTATTGTCTACTAATGGCACTTAATTTTGTTACAGCCTTTACTAAGGGAAAGTGATGTGGACACAAATCACTTTGCTCTGTGTCATTCCTGAAAGCAACTTAAATGGCAAGTTCAGTTCTTCTCTCCTTTCCTGATCATTTAATCCTGGGGTGCGGTGGGGGAATGGCAAAAAGAAACAGTTAACATAATTGACAGACATTCCTGATTGAGTATCATGTGTAATTAACAGACACCTTCAGTTTTGCCAAATAAATGGATGACAGTTTAAAGTCTCCTCTAGAATGTCCAAAGTCTCTATGTCATCTCACTGTCATTAGACATGAGGTGTCTTGAAGCAAGCTTTTGACTTCAGGACATTCTATACTTCTAATGGAATAATAAAATGACAATGGTTACTTTTCACTGAGTGTTTCCTGTATGCCAGATACTGAGGTACTCATTTTACTTTCCATTAAACAATTCAACATTTGTATTGTAATTTTACACAGGAAGGAATTGAGTTTTGAAGATTTTCAACTACCCACCTGGAGTCACCTTTCCATAAAAAGTTTTGGCTTGGTGCAAGCACACTATAAAGTCCACAGCCTTAATTATTAATAAACCAATAGGTGTATTTTCTGTATAAAAACTACCTTAGGCTACAATAATCAGCTATAGGCACCAGATTATTTGGGATGCAATCA